TGAAGCGGTATATAAGTCTAACTGCTACTGGTATTGCCCTCTCAGTCTAATCTTGTCTTTTGCAACTTCAAGTTGCATGGACTTCCTCTCCTAGAATTCCGCCCAGGATTCCCTGGAGAGACAGAATTCTGGGAATGGAAGTCCACTCAATTTAAAATTGCAGAGGTTGAGAAACACTGGTCTAATTTCTAGGAAATTGATGTAGAATTTGAATGTGGAACACCCTTTCATGATCTCTCACTCCTGGCCATGCTGTTTGGGGCTGCAGAGACTTGCTGGTTCAGCAACTAAAAGACTATAGGTCTCCTCTTCCATGAAACAGGAAGACACAATATATAGAAAACCCAAGTGTAAGAACTCATCTTATTTTTAGTAAATACTATATTGGTTAGCTCCCCTCAGTGCCCAAATAGTGCTCCCTTTCCTCTCTTCCTGATCAGTATTTTGATGTTATAAAAAATTCTTTATGCACACACTTAACTGCACAAATCTTCAAAAGTTGGGACCTTTTCATCTATAAGACCACTTTTTCATTAAAAGAGAGAGAGAGAGAAAGATGGAGGGAGGGAGGGAAAGAGAGAGAAAAGAAAGAAAGAAAGAAAGAAAGAAAGAAAGAAAGAAAGAAAGAAAGAAAGAAAGAAAGAAAGAAAGAAAGAAAGAAAGAAAATCATCTGTCTGAAGATGGAGCACTCGGGGTGATTTTGCTTAGGAGGCAAAACAGGTCTCACAAATCCTATCAATAAATATGGAGACATGTTCTTCAGACACCATTAAAATTGAAAAATCCAATCATACATGGCCAGTAAAGAATATTCTATTCTTCTATCCAAATTGCAAGGGTGGAGTTCCACCGACAAAGTATAAGCAGTGTTTTCTAACCCGATTCTTATTTACTGATATTTTGTACTGATTTTTAAAAGTGACAGACTCTTAATCTTGTTCCTCAATTGATTTGCAGATTAAAGTTCTTACCGCAATATATATATATATACATACTCCACTGGATAGCTTGACAGTTTTAGTCAGAAAGAATTCTGAATGGAAATTTGCAAAAATCAAATGCCTAAGGCATCCCTACCAAAGTAGAAAATTAGTTAGACCCTGCTATGAATTAATCTTTCATCTTTCATAAAAAAAATTTTGCAAGATTTCTTTTCCATCTCTGCTCATCATAGCAAGGAGCGTTCTGATTTGGTTTAGTTTTTCAGCATAAGTCAAGCCTCAGATTCAGTTAAGTGAATTGTAAACGTTTTCCCCAAAATAGTGCATTTAAAAACATTTTAACCACAGTAAATCGATTAATGGTTTTCTGGCTTTAGCAACATCTCCATATAAACATGCATCCAATGAATCAGGCTGTACAGATATACAAGCTAATTCCCTTGTTGCATTTGCCAAGATAGACCAAACAAATGATGAAAGCAGTCAGGAATGAAACAGGAACAAAGGAAAGGATCTGTTTAAAGAGAAAGATTTTATATCCTTCTATGAAGAGAGAAAAAAGGCCAGTTCTACATATGATTCTTAGGTCTGAGTCACATACTACATAGAACTCACATTGGACAAAACACGCATAAGTGCAAATCACTTCAATTAAATTTGCTGCTGCAAGCTCCCTTTAAGGAGCGTGGTGCTTATTTGGACAGCAAACAAAAGCTATTGGTAGCAATTCCATATTTATTAGAGAGGAAGGTCTTTCTTGTATTGTAAGAAGGAAGGAAGGGAGGAAAGAAGGAAGGAAGGGAGGAAGGAAGGAAGGAAGGAAGGGAATGGGAAGGAAGGGAGGGAAGGAGGGAGGGAGGGAGGGAAGAGGGAATTAGCATTCGAACTATTGCATAGGAACTTATTGTCACAAGAAAAAGGACTATGTATAATGACTGTATACTATATACAGACTGTGTATAATGTATAGAGATTGTGGATATAGACTATGGATAACTACCTATTATACAAAAATAACTTTTTAGGAAAAAGGTTCTTGCTTTTCCTGTTACTTGTAGAATCAAAATAACATTTTTTATTTACCTTTATTATTGCATGGTATTTTTTAATCTGCCATTATTTCATGACAGCCATGCAGAGAAATGGGCAGAAACTAGAGATGCTGGGATAACTTTCCACGGGATTTCCAGCCTACATAGACAATGGATAATTCATCAAGAACCCACACAATCAGATAGGAATGGCTGATCTAATCTAGGAGTTCCGAGATGGCTTTGTGTATCGATAATACCTAACCAATTTTGCTGGGCTTGGAATCTAAACATGGTTCAAGCAGTTAGTTCTTGCAAGAGAGAACATTAGGAAGTCTCCACACCTTGTCTCTCAGAAGACGACAACGGTAAACCACTTATCTATGCTGCCAAGAAGACTTCATTGTTCACCAGAAACATGTTCTTCCCCACAGAAGAATTTAAGAAGGTACAAAGAAAATGTAGGTCAACGTGAACACCTAGAACATTTAAAAAAAAAAAACCTAAAAACCAACACTTTCTTTTTTTAAGGTCCACTAATGCAGAGATTTGTTTTGCATGCTACATCTCCCAGCCATTTTTAATTGTTAAAAGTTTGAAACTAGATTAGTGTTAATTAAGGAAAACCTACACTTTTCTTCTAAACTTAAGGAAGCCTTTTTGCTAGCCTCACCCACCAAGGCGCAAATGTTCAACTTCCACTCTAGTACTCCAACTGGAAAATCTGCTTACAATGAAACAAGGAACTCTCTGACCTTAACAAAAGGCAATCAGTTCGTTTTTTGAGCAACTTCAGAACAATACCAGAAAGAAAGACAAAAATTCACATCTTGAATTTACAGTCAGCGCACTTCTCAGATCAAGTCTATGTCACATTGAACTCAGCTCCCGGTGCATCCATGTTGTTTTCCTGCAACAAGGAAATGGCTTGCTGTCGCTTCTTCTAGGATGTTCTTCTAGGATGTTCTCAGTTTAGCCTACAGTCTGGGGATTTCAGAGCAACCTCCCATTTGGACAGGAACCTAACTAGATCCTGGTTCGGTTTCTGAGCCCAGACAAGTATTGCCAGTTACTCAGGATGGGGAAAAAGAAGATAAACTTTCCAGTGGCCATCCAATGTCATTCCAGTTTTGACCATGGAGCACGAGGCAACTCTTTGCTTGACTGCATTGGTGAGAAGGGCTCATTACCTTAAGATTAAATCTTTGAGGAAACTCAAAGCTGAGGTTTATCCACCCCACCCAGTACATTGAATTGTCTCTGTTTTGGAACAGGAACAACTTTTTTAAAATCTTTCTCCACCAACGGGTTAAAACAGGAATAAGAAAGTGACCTATTAGAATAGGTTATTTGCATTTGCAGTGGAAGAAGAACAAGGCTATGTATTTCCTAACAGGAACCCTAAATAATCTGTAGCCAACCTTCAATCTCAAAACAATCCCACCATTAAATGAGATAACTCTGGAAATATCCCAGGAGTAGGCATCCTTCAGGCTGCCCATACTGCAATATAACTCTAATTTCCAAAACAAATTCCAGAGCTCAAAATTATTTTCAGTTTCAGGACACCTTTTTTTGCCCTCTGCTGAAGGCTTTAACCACCAACATGTCATCATCCCCATCATCATTGCTCAATTTCAGAGTATTTTAGGTCACTATGAATACTTTCACTTCACTTCTAGATGGAAAACCTTGAGAAACCCGGATGAGCACAGTTCCCACCCCCAAGTTCTGTTTCAGCAGATGTAGGCCACCGCTGTCTCTCCAGAAATCTACCATTCAATGTCCCTGCTGTCAATCCATCGGATGATGGCCTAGGCCCTAGGCCTCAAACCAACCTCAATGAGTATTGGAGTTGTTAGTTAAGAGTGTTTGGTATTATGATAGATTTACTTAGGCATTTATTATTATTTTTATCTTTGTGTGTTATTACTTATCCATCTGCTTTATCTCTCTTTTTGGTTTTTAACACAATCTCGAACCATGGTCGAGCCCAAACTTTCTGTTGCTAAGTGAGATATTATGCCCCATTTTTCGACCCTTTTTGCCACAGTTGTTAAGCAGATCACTGCCGTCGTTCAGTTAGCGACGCTGTTGTTCAGTGAATCTGGCTCCCCCATTGACTTGGCTTGTCAGAAAGTTGCAAAAAAAGGATCACACGCCCTTGAAATCTGCAACCGACATTTTGATGACATGATCAGTTCTGTTCTAACTTTGAACGGTCACTAAATAAACTGTTGTAAGTCGAGGATAGCTGTTATTAACTTTTTTACTCCCCTCTTTCTATGCTGGTTTATCCCAGAGATTTGATCTGCTGTCCTTTCCATTTTCCTACCTTTCTTCTCAAAGAATCTGAGGCCACAATTCACCTTTGCACACCTTTCTGCCCCTGCAGATCAGCTGAACACCTGAGCAGCACAGCTTCCCGGATCTTCCTTCCTTCCTTTCTTTCTTTCTTTCTTTCTTTCTTTCTTTCTTTCTTTCTTTCTTCTTCTTCTTCTTCTTTCTTCTTCTTCTTCCTCTTCTTCTTCTTCCTCTTCCTCTTCTTCTTCTTTTTCTTCTTCTTTCTCTCTCTCTCTCTCTCTCTCTCTCTCTCTCTCTCTCTCTCTCTCTCTTTCTTTCTTTCAACCAAAAGCCTAAATCCCTCTGGAATTCAGTCCCTCCAAACGCCAGATCGACAAAGAAGGACCAGGCCAAGCCTGCCTGAGATCCGCTTAGATTTTTCTTCCGGGCTCGGATCCCTCTTGGGGGCAGGATTGCTTCCCAGCCCCAAAGACCCGCCAGCCCAACAAAGAGACGGCAGAGAAAAACTTGCGGATCAAACTCCGGGTAGGATCCATCCCGGTTTAGCCTTTCGGAGATCGTTCGCTTTCCAACTGTTAAGGAGGGGGGGGGGATCTCTCTCTCTCACATACACACACACACACACACACACACAAAATCCCGATTTTTTTTTTAAAGCCACCCTTCTCAGGACCCCCTCCCTCCCCCCCTGCCAACAAAAGCCACCAGGAAGTAAGCGCTCACCTCCGTCTTGCTGCTGTATTTCAGGCCCGCCTGCGAGACCTTCGTTTTGGCCCCCGAAGGTGGGCGATAAATGTTCATCCTGCCTTGACTTTTAGGGAGCCTTCATGTACCGGTCAATCGCTTTCTCCCTCCTCCCGAGGAGGGCGACGGGAGGGGAGGCGAGGGGGGCGAACGATGCGGGACGGGAATCCAACCGAAAAAGAAAAGGGGGAAAATAAAAATCGACTCCCGACGACCGGCGCCGAGTTTGCCCCCAACTTTGTTCGGCTTCCAGACGCAACTGGAGTTTGCTCTCTACACAGGAAAGGGGAGAAAACCAGACGGGCGTTGATCCAAACACATCCGGTGCTCGCGCTGGGACTCCGAAAAGGAGCTTTGCTTTTTCTTTCTTTCTTTCTTTCTTTCTTTCTTTCTTTCTTTCTTTCTTTCTTTCTTTCTTTCTTTCTTTCTTTCTTTCTTTCTTCTTTCTCTCTCTCTTTCTTTCCTTCTTTCTTTCTTTCTTTCCCTTTCTTTCTTCTTTCTTTCTCTTTCTCTCTCTCTCTAGTTCTTTCTTTCTTTCGGGGGTCTCTTTTTTTTTTCTTCGTCTCTTTCTCTCGCCTGCTTGAACTGGGTCGCGGGCGGGCAGGCTCGCTCTCTGCCTCTCTCGGGGCCTCGCGCGGCTTCCTGGGTCGCCCTTTGCGCGCACAGGTGACTCGGGGCGGGGCGGCTGGAAGCGCTGCTGCTCGCCCGCCCATCCGCCCGCCCGCGCGCGGGAATTACCTGGCGGCCTGGCGCCCCGCCCACTTCTGCTGGCAGGTGAGGGGGCGGGGTGTGTGTGTGAAATGGATCGGAAGAGAGCTGGAAGGGACCTTGGAGGTCTCCAAGTCCAACCCCCTGCTCAAGCAGGAGGGCCTTACAGAATCAAAGAATAAGAAGAGTTGGAATGTCTTCTGGTCCATCTCCCTGCTCAAGGAGAACCTCAATCAATCAGAACAGAGCTGGAAGGGACCTTGGAGGTCTTCTGGTCCATCTCCCTGCTCAAGGAGAACCTCAACCAATCAGAACAGAGCTGGAAGGGACCTTGGAGGTCTTCTGGTCCATCTCCCTGCTCAAGGAGAACCTCAACCAATCAGAACAGAGCTGGAAGGGACCTTGGAGGTCTTCTGGTCCATCTCCCTGCTCAAGGAGAACCTCAATCAATCAGAACAGAGCTGGAAGGGACCTTGGAGGTCTCTGGTCCATCTCCCTGCTCAAGGGACCAATTGAAGGAGGTCTTCTGGTCCATCTCCCTGCTCAAGGAGAACCTCAATCAATCAGAACAGAGCTGGAAGGGACCTTGGAGGTCTTCTGGTCCATCTCCCTGCTCAAGGAGAACCTCAACCAATCAGAACAGAGCTGGAAGGGACCTTGGAGGTCTTCTGGTCCATCTCCCTGCTCAAGGAGAACCTCAATCAATCAGAACAGAGCTGGAAGGGACCTTGGAGGTCTCCAAGTCCAACCCCCTGCTCAAGCAGGAGGGCCTTACAGAATCAAAGAATAAGAAGAGTTGGAATGTCTTCTGGTCCATCTCCCTGCTCAAGGAGAACCTCAATCAATCAGAACAGAGCTGGAAGGGACCTTGGAGGTCTTCTGGTCCATCTCCCTGCTCAAGGAGAACCTCAATCAATCAGAACAGAGCTGGAAGGGACCTTGGAGGTCTTCTGGTCCATCTCCCTGCTCATCAACCAATCAGAACAGAGCTGGAAGGGACCTTGGAGGTCTTCTAGTCCATCTCCCTGCTCAAGGAGAACCTCAATCAATCAGAACAGAGCTGGAAGGGACCTTGGAGGTCTTCTGGTCCATCTCCCTGCTCAAGGAGAACCTCAACCAATCAGAACAGAGCTGGAAGGGACCTTGGAGGTCTTCTGGTCCATCTCCCTGCTCAAGGAGAACCTCAACCAATCAGAACAGAGCTGGAAGGGACCTTGGAGGTCTTCTGGTCCATCTCCCTGCTCAAGGAGAACCTCAATCAATCAGAACAGAGCTGGAAGGGACCTTGGAGGTCTCCAAGTCCAACCCCCTGCTCAAGCAGGAGGGCCTTACAGAATCAAAGAATAAGAAGAGTTGGAATGTCTTCTGGTCCATCTCCCTGCTCAAGAAGAACCTCAATCAATCAGAACAGAGCTGGAAGGGACCTTGGAGGTCTTCTGGTCCATCTCCCTGCTCAAGGAGAACCTCAACCAATCACAACAGAGCTGGAAGGGACCTTGGAGGTCTTCTAGTCCAACCCAGGTTCCTGGCTGAGGAATTCTGGGAGTTGAAGTCCACAAGTCATAAAAGGGCCACGTTTGAAGACCCGTGCCCTCTACCATTCCAGACAAGTGGCTGTCCAGCCTCTTCTTAAAAGCCTCCAGTGATGGAGCCTCCACAACTTCTGAAGGCAAGCCATTCCACTGGTTAATGTTCCTGTTAGGAAGTTTTTCCTTAGTTCTAGGTTGGGTCTCTCCTTGAGTAACAGAAGGCGAGAGCCCCAAGGGATGAAGGGAGGAAGATGACAGGTTGGGGTTCCTGGCAGAAGGGACTTACTGGGCTGCCCAAGAGAGCTGCTCCGGAGTAGCCACTCCTAGACTGAGTCACAAAGTGAATGCAAGTATTTGGAAAAGCAGGTCACTTTAGAAATAAGCTAATAGGATTATGTATCATTGTGATTGAGAGGAATCACACATTTCTAGTAAGGTTACTGATTTATTTGGGTGGCAATGGTTTGCAGGGAGCAACGATCTAAAGCATAGGCTTGTGTACATCCATCCAAAAGTGAACATTCATTCATTGGATTCACACAATGAAATAAACTACCATGGGGTTGGGTTGCGTCTTGGTCGACTTTAACCCTAGACTATTGTATGCCTTGACATACTGTGGGAATCCAGCCAACTGTAGTTTATTTAGTAAACTGGTGAATGAGATCCCTGTTATTATTGGAGTAGGCTAACGCAATGTACTTCCAAAGGGAAATGATAGGAAAATACACGACTGGAGACAACATAGGTGGTTTTAAGCACTGGCCTTAGTAGAGCAAACAGTTGCAACCTTGAACTTTCGTTCAGATAAGAAACACTTTGGATGAGCAGGAAATGGGTGCTTTTTCTGAAACTCGACTGGCCTCCAGAATTGAAGGTATCAATTCCACCCTGGGCATTGAGAACTTGAGAAGTTGCAATCCTAGCATTTCTGCAAGGGACAGTGCCCTTTTGAGCAGACTGTCTAGTGTGAAAAGACCAGAGGAATTAAGTAAATAAGCCAGTAATTAAAAATTTGTCAGGCAGTGCTGACAAATCACAAAGTTGCCTAGAAAACAATCTAAAATATATATAGTATTGCTTCTTTAGAAAAATGAAATTAAAATATTAATTCACATTGCTGAAATTCACTTGCAGATTTGGTTTTAAAAGGTACCTCTTCTTTGTTATCATATGGATTTTAAACATTTTCGGACATTCAACAAGCTGATGTGCTACTTTAAAAGTTTTTGTGCCTGAATTAGATTTGGGCCAGATACTCTCTCAGGTAATTTATATAATAGACTATGGGGGGAAATAGGAGTGTGTGAGTGAATGAAGTTCCTGAATGAAAAGCAAGATATACTAAATATATAAAAAATAATTTCAGCATCATAATTGAGGCATAATTAATGGAAAGTCAGTCACAGGAGTGGATTGTGTTTCCTAGCAATTTTACAGAATCACTGATAGGTGTATTTACTGCAAGCTGTCCAGTGAGTCCATCAGGATGTCTTACATTATCTTTAGATCATCCCAAGAACATAGGAACACATTGCTACCTGGAGGGTTTAAAATCCAATGAGAAAAATATCCAGCCAAGAGAACAGAAGGAAGTGCTGGTTGATGAGCAGAAGAGCAAGCCAGTCAACCAGACAAAAACAGAGGCCTAGAAAAGCTTGAAAAGGAGAAATTATAATGAGAAGTTGACCCTCGTGGCTATCAGGGCAAAACTTCCAGGCAATGTCCTGAAGTCCTGCTTTGCATCTCAAGCAAGAGAAATCCCAACTGCTGCAAATTGGTTTATCTTTTGTGGACGTTAAGATATCCTGATGTGTGTACTGTATGGGGTGTACGTAGGGAATGAGATGGTCCATTAAAGGACAATAGAAGTCCGCTCATCCCTTTGTTTCAAAGTCTGTGCACTCTTTCTGCATTTATTAGAGGTCTTTATGCTCTGAAAATTCTTTCCAAGAAGTGCTTTGGATCTTGTGTGAAAGCAGCTTCTCTCAGCTGCTCATTAAACAATGCATGCACGCCTTTTCTGACTTCAGGGCAAGGATGCTTTAAGAGTTGCCTCAAGCAAATTATGTTAATGATTCATGAAAACAATGGCGTCTTTTTTTCTCCTGGGTCTTGCAAGTGATTGAAGGCAAGCATGCTCACCAGAACTGCTCTGGCCTCCTCTAAGATCCAAAATACCTGTTCTGTGCATTTTACTATATTGTTTGAATTAAAGATACTGAAAATGGCAGATATCTGCCATATTCTACAATTCTCATTATTAGTTATCCAAGTGCCAGTTTCAAAATCCAGTGTATTATGTTTTTCCAACTTTTCTGATGTCAGATCAACTGCACCCCAAAGTAAAAGCTAGTTTCTGTTTCCTATTTATAGCAATAAAGTACAGTAAACTTGATTAACATCTGACTTCAATGTCAGATGATATTATAAAGGCTAGCAACTCTCTGACTTTAAAAAACAAGACAATACAAAACTGTGAGCCTGGCATTCAATAATGATCATGGTTCACAGATGTGGTATTTTTCCTTTACCGTAAATATTCGAGATGAAATAGATATTCATTTCCGTGCTTCGTATCATTTTTGAAGGATGATGTAACAAAAGAAGTTAAGATAATATAGCGGAGCTGATATCAGACGTTTTGTTCATAAAGTCTGGTAATCTTTATTCAAAAAGCAATAAAAATCAACAGGCTCAACCTCCACTAAAGTGAGCAAGTTTAAGTGGTCACCAAGCTCTGGGTTGAGATTGGCTTCCCCTATGATTTCAAGAAGCGATTTTCCTGTCCCATTAAGGCCACCATTTTCAAAATGGGACAGAGGGAACTAAAGAAGAATTTGACTCTCGACTTTATTCACAACTAGCTCATCAATGTTATGAGATTTTTCTTGTGCAACCTGGTGCAGGCGAGATAAGCACCAGAAATGGCCTCAGATCTCAAAGAAACAGTCATAAAATACACAGAACCGACAAAAGCATTGGGAACAAAAAAACAAAAATCCAGACTGCAGAAAGTCCACTCCCGTGTCCAACACTTTCAACATTCCCTTTCTTCTTGTCTGATTCAGGAACCCTTACAGAAACGTACTTTCCCACCAACACAGGCCAATAATTGGAAGGGACTCCTCAGCATCCAAAATTCAAAGGGGATTTCACTAGCCTGCTAACACTAGCTGTGCACGTATCGGCGACTCAGCCTGTTCAGAACCCAAGAGAACATCGGAGCTGCTGCTTCTAGTATATTGGGAACCAACCTGCACATCGCCAAGACAAGGCATCCCTCAGGTGAAAATGGCACAAAAGAACTAGAGTTTGTTGAATATATATATATATCTTTGGTTGTTCGGGTTTTCTTCCGCGTAAAATTGGAAGTGTCTTGGCGACGTTTCGACGAAGTCCCATTCGTCATCTTCAGGCTGGTGTTTTCAGCTTCGTGCTTCGAGGAGATTGCTCCTCGAAGCACGAAGCTGAAAACACCAGCCTGAAGATGACGAATGGGACTTCGTCGAAACGTCACCAAGACACTTCCAACTTTATGCGGGAGAAAACCCGAACAACCAAAGACCTAAACACACACACACACACACACACATTTGTGCTGACACTTTCATGGCTGATCCTGTGTCTGTTTTGGAGATGGGGCTGCTGTGACAACTACGGTGGACACCGCTTTTGTAGAGCCAGAGACGGTTCCTTGCTGGAGATGGGAAGCTGGAACGGTTTGAATCCGCACCTGTGGAGAACAGGACAATGAGATCAGAAATCTCCCCTACACCGCAGAAAATGTCAGTGCTAGTGGGGAAAACTCTGCTCCACCAAATTTCCTACTGAAAGCTTGCCTTACCCATGCCCCTCAAATCCTCAACCTCCGATCGAAGCACTAAGTGCGCAAATAAATGAATCGCACACAAAATAACTTCAACCATCGAGACGATGGTGATCTTTCAAAGCCAAGCCATGAAGACAGCAAATGGGGCTCCTTACCTGGGCAGCCTGGCCTTGTTGCTGCAGCTGCTGCAGCTGCTGGGCAGTCAGGAAGCTCACTGGTTTGTTCCCAGCAATCAGTTTCGTTCCAGCTGGCATCGTGGTAAGGATGATGTTTCGCCCCAAGCCGCTAATGCTGCGGGGGGAGAAAAAGAAGCCATCCAGAAGGCAGGAGGGGATTGGAAGCAGAAAGGGATCAACTCTTTTGCACTAGGCTGGGATTTTCGCCTTGGCTATTGCAGCCTCCAGATTCCCAACAGTTTACAAGAATGTTAGGAAGGATTCAATTTAACAGGAACGTCTCCCAAATTTTACCTAGCGGAAGCTGTTGTTTTACCAAACTAGTAGCATCTCTAGCAGGGAAGGAGCTGGTGTTCATGTGCCTTAGGAAGAAACATCACTTTCACCCTAGTAATGCCTCTACTTTAAAATTTGTGTTTCCAGGATCTCAGCTGAATTTTGCACATTTCACTATGAGAGTCCATTTGGTTGGGGGGGGGAGGGGGGAGGTTAAGCCACCAGGCTAAAAACCAGGAAACTTAAGTATGACAACTGGCTGGGTGGCGTTTGGCCAACCGTTCTTAGCCCACCGCTCAGGCAACAGCCAGTGAGTCAATTCCTGTCACAACCAGTTGATCAAAAAAAGTGTACCTTGCATCTGTGGGAAAAATGCTAGAAAAAAGAATAATTCTGCCCATTTCACTACAAAGGGGACTGCTTTAAGGGGAAATGCAGTTACCATGTGGCTAAAGGGATAGCCAGGAAATCCCCTTTGTACTTTAAAGAGCTTGTGAAAAAATAATAACTGCAGTAATTAATTTTTCACTCTGAAAATGTTATGTTGTGTGGAGCTGAGGATTACATTCCAATAACTACAGGAGCAGGAGAGAAGTTGACAAATTTAAAGGGAAAAAAATGGGGACAGCCAAATAAAGTAAAACATTATGCAACATTCACTATTATTCAGATTTTTTTTTTTTAAAAAAAAAGCACCAAACTGAACGCTACTTAACCCATTCTACAGGCAGAGATTTTTTTCCAGCGGCTAAAAAAATTCAGCACGTTTCAGAACGTTCAATCTTCTTTTTGTGTGTGTTGGATTTCCAGTGGCCTAATTACAGCCCTAAGAAATTCGTTTCTGAAGATTCCCAATTCCTCCTGCATTACTCACTTGGCCCCAAGGCTGCCTTTGAGGAGAGGCGCAGTCACGACGTTCTTGCCTTTCACGGGCTGGCTGATGACCGAGAGGGGCACGGTGATCCGGGCAGGCAGTTTCCCCTAGGCGAATAAATCATAGGCAGAAATGATTTGTGCCATTTCATCTGCCCTAGACACATTCAAAGGAAAGTGATGTCCTCTCCCCCTGAAAGCCCCCTCCCCAAACTGTCTGCAAAAAACAACAACCCCATCAAACCATCGCAATACGTATAACTCTTCCAGGCAGCACTTCTAAACGGTTCCCAATGGCGGAAGACACCAGAACAATGATGAAGTGCATTATCTCCAATGCTGAGACTTTTGCCTCTGAGAGAGTCTCTGGAAAAATCAACCTTACTTACTGGCTGGGAGGCGGATACCACTGTGGTGGTCACGGGGACCTGCCGCACAGTAGAGGTCCCTGCTCCTATAGATATGGGTGTTCCTGCTGCTGACACCACAGCGACCGCCTTGGAGACCGAAGCCGTCATGGTGGGCAAAGAAACAGCCGAGGTGTGCACAGTTCCAGGTATGCTGACCGCAGAAGGCATCTGCTTGGCATGAGTGGCCACTGTAATCGTCTGGCCAGGCTTGGGAGGCATCACCCCCATGCCCTGCACAATCCTTATGGTGGCCGCTGGTTTGGCTTCCGAGGATGCCATCGTGGTCAAGGCTTTGCCCTTCTGGTCTGCCATGGACATGCCTAGAGCAGGCATCAGTCGGAAGGCGGAACCGGCAGACTCCACTGTCTTCAAGTCGGGTGTGACTTTGACCACGGTTGGTCCGGCGGGACTGGCTGAAGCGGAGGTGGGGGTGCTGATCTTGGCGGGAGAGTCCGAGGATTGGATGGGGCTTGACGTCACACGCAAAGTGGCGCAGATGCCCTTCCCTGCAGGGCTGCTTCCAGCAGCAGCAGCCGTGCTGAAGAGGTCTTGAGTCAGCTTGACAGTAGTGACTTGAGATTTGGCCAAGGTGGCCATCATGTCCGGTGTGATGCGGAGAACTGTCTGCCCCTTGGCATCTGTGGTGATGGAGGATGGAGGCAGACGCAGAACATCCTTGCCTTGAATACGGAAGTTGGATGTTGTAAGTGGGAGGCTGCTCCCTGTCTGGCTTTTCATGCCGAGCTGTCCAGTAATAGACACCTGCAAAGCAAAAGAGGTATCGATTGGGACTTCTGTTTAAGAAACATCGGTTATGTATGTGTAGCCATACCAATAGCAACAGCACTTAGACTTATATACCGCTTCACACTGCTTTACAGCCCTCTCTAAGCGGTTTACAGAGTCAGCATATTGCCCCTCAAGAATCTGGGTCCTCATTTTATCAACCTCGGAAGGATGGAAGGCTGAGTCAACCTTGAGCTGGTCAGAATCAAACTGCCGAACTGCAGGCAGTCAGCAGTCAGAAGTAGCCTGCAGTATTGCATTCTAACCACTGCCCCACTACGGCTCTATGCTGGTCATATTGCATGTAGCCATACCAACTAAACAGGGCTGGTAGGCCAAACTGGTCATTAAGAGCTGAAAGAAAGTGAAAGTGTCTTTCAGTGATTAAAACCTTTGCTCAGAGGTCTTTAAAAAAAAACAGGCAAATTAACGAGTAACAGGCCCATCTCTACTGTACAAGGCTGGGAAGTTTCTTGATATCTATTTCCTGGTTTATTAAGCAGCTGCCAGAGGTCTGAATTTCCTCTTCCATCCTACCATCTCCTTCCTTTTGAGCTTTGTCTATGAGAAGGACATGGAGTTATGTGTCTTATTTGCTCGGTATTTGAATCAATTTAAGAACTTAATAAATCAAGCATGGCTGTGAATTTCCCAGGGGCACATGGTTAGCAGTAAAATACCTACAATAATTTCTTTGCAGAGTGCAGCTCCTCACCTGTTTAATGATATTTTGGCCAGCAATGTTCTGGAGGACAGTGGTGGATGAAGAGGAAGACGATAAAGAGGAGGAGGAGGAGGAGGAGGAGGAGGAAGAAGAAGAAGGAGAGAATGGAGTAGTGGAAGGGTTGGATGCTGTAGTGTTTGAAGAACTAGTTGCTGGCTTGGGGGTGGGAATAGGCGTTGCAGGAATTCCTGTCCCAGTGACACTGGCTGCTCCAGTTACAGCAACAGTTGTCCTCTGCACTTGGACTGGGCTGGTCTGAGCTTTGACTGGAACAGTCATGACGGCCTAAGAGGAAGAAGTCATTATCGTAACAATTGTATAGCATCTAAATGTTGTTCCTTTCAGTTTTAGCTTGCTCCACGTGACCAAAAATTTCAAGGTAGCCATCATTCTTATCCGAAATATGGGCATTCTTGTCAGGAGCCCTTTCTAGTCCAATATACACTTGAAACAATTCCTCTGATTCATGACTTACTTGAAAAAACAAGTAGCACATCTAAGAGCTAACTGGAGTCCATGACTCACTTCCATCATTTTTTCCCCCCAATTCAGCTAGTGTAACTGAATTCAGACAGATACACTCACACCGATACTCGGTATTCTTTTTTTAGCACCGCTGATGATGCACTATTGAAAATACAAAATGTTCACATTCTATAAAGGAAGTTATTCCTCATAGTTGTCCCTCTACTTTGGAGGATCCTCTTGCTGGAAACAACATTTAAATTGTTCAGAGGCTGAAGCTCTCCCCTATGGATGATCCTGACCAGTGTTTCTGAAGCTTAGCAACTTTAAGACGGGTGGACTTTGATTCCTAGAATTCCCCAGCCAGTCTCACTGGCTGGCTGGGGAATTCTAAGAATTAAAGTGTACACATCTTAAAATTGCCAGGGTTAAGAATCACAGTCTAGACATTCAAAAAAACCATGTGATTTAAGAATCAGTCCCATTTCTCTACCAAAGGGAATGGAAAGAGAAGTCTATCCGTGAAAAACATAGGTTAAAAAGGCTAAAATGAGATGGGATTCCACCCAACAGAAGTTAAGAACCCTTCTGTCTCCAGAGAACTTGCTAGTCCCAAGCAAAAGTATTTTGCTTTTCTAATCAAGAAGATCCACCAAAGATTTCATGAAAAGGAACGTTGCTATGGTGTCATTTAGGGGCTTAAGTTTTTACACAGGACGCGCCTATATTTGTTCCTCTTTCTGCCGGCACTAGTAAAGGGGTAATTTATTTAGATACCTTACTTTTGATGCATTGAATTATGCTGTGTACAACTGCTACTCAAAGATGTAAAATTACAGAGGTGAATCTATGTTCAATAGTGATCACCTGGGAGGAAGATTACTAACACCTGTGTTCATTCACACGTGTTACTCACCTGAGAGAATACTTTGCTTTGCACAGAAGTGGAAGGAACCCGGATCTGAGGTATGGATGCTAGAGAGAGCTGCTGTTGTGCTACCACCTGGGCGGGCTGAGACAGAGGGGGAAGGCTAGACGGAGCTGTAACTACTCGGACTTGAGGAAGACCTGAGGAAGTAGTGTGGCTAGCTGTCCGTGGGGTAGACAACTGAGTTCCCGGCTGTGCCTGAGTGCTCTGTGGGGTCGAGAGCAACGTACCAAGCTGGGGCATGGTAGGAGAAGATACCAAAAGGATGCTATGCAACAATGAAACAAACAAAAAATCCTGATGAGTATACAAAAAAAAAAGACAACCTTTCTTCTAAAACACAGAGTTTCAACTGGATCAAGTGCTTAAAACAGAGTGGCACAATACAGGTCATTCCTTTCTCAAAAAAACAAAGCAAAAACAATAATTCAAAGAACAGTTTATAACCTGAAAGACTACTCCAAAGACATTTCCGCAGATTGCTCGGAAAGCCTGCCAATATTTCTGCATTCTTTAAACAAACCAAACCACTCAACAACAGTTTCCAAATACTTCCTATTCTTACGCCACCTGCTATGTTCTGGAGAAATCACTTGTGGAAGAGTGTAACCAAGAAATCTGGCACCGTTGGTTATATCCCCCCCCCCCTTTTTTTTTTAACAGGCTGAAACCATTTATCATAATCCCTGCCCCTGCTTTATCTTTATTTTACCTGGGGATATTTCCAATCCACTCCCAACTTTTTATTAAGAGGAACAAGAGAAATTACCTCTGGTTGGATTTTGCTGGCTCTGCTGCAACACAAGACAAAGTCTTGCTAACCACAGAGACAGGAGGGGGCGAAATGGGAATGGCTGGCAAAGGGAGCGAGGCAGGTGTCGCTGGAGTTACAGGGGTTGGCGGCATGCTGGAGTCACTAACGCTCAGCTGGCTGGGCTCTGAAGTGCTGGCGGTCCCCACTTTCGCCGAACTCTCCTTGGTGCTTGATTTCTACAATGTCAACAAAGGACCTTACTTCCATGGAACGAACACACACACACACACACACACACACACACACACACACACACACACTGCATTTACCTCTGACAATCTGGACAAGTTCAGAGTGGGGAAGAAAACAACCCAGACCTTCTAAAAATGGTCTCCATTTCAAGGATACTGCAAACACTTTGTATTCAAAATGCCTGCCGTGCAGTCCCGGATAATTTCAGATGGAATTGAGAAGACCAAGAAAGCTGCTGCTGATCATTATAGGCACAGCTCCACTAGACCAGTGGTTCTCAACCTGTGGGTCGGGACCCCATTTGGGGTCGAACGACCATTTCACGGGGGTCGCCAAACAACGCAGTCCGCCATTTTTTCCCCCTTTTCCTTAGCTGTGCTACTCCCTTTTATTCTATTGGCTTTTGAAAGCCAATAGAATAGACTCTCTTGAATAGAGTCTAATTCTATTGGCTTTCAAAAGCCAATAGGAATTGTCCAGGCTGTCTCTGCCCTGCTGAGCCCGCCAAAAGTCCCATTCTGCAAACGGTGCTGCACCAGTTGAGTAGTCCTCGACTTACGACCGGTTGAGTAGTCCTCGACTTACGACCGGTTGGGGGTCGCGGCATTAAAAAGGTTGAGAACCACTGCGCTAGATGGACCGTTGAGCAGACTCAGTCTTTATGAGCTGCCTAATGCCCAGGTTTAAGAGGAAGAATGAAAAACAAGCAGCAGGTCTCTATGCAGTGGAAAGGCAACAATTCCTGAAAGCAATTGCAACTTTCTATCCTTAGCCTACTGTTTATCATATACAGAATGTTTTTCGCTGGCTGTCTTGCAGATAATATTCAACTGCAATTTACCACATTATTCATGAGAGAATAAGATATAATAATCCTGTTTATGTCCCCACCCATTCATACAAATCTAAAACTTCCATTTTTATTGCCCACCTCTTGTCCTAAGTAGCTCGGGAGTAACTCAGAAAGTCTTGTGTTTACTTTTACTTAAATGCAACTCCTTGGACCAGAAACTGAGGTTGATACTAACTATGATGGGAATGTTCTTCCATGACTTTATCTATGTCTCCAATCAAAGTCCGCAAGGGAACACAGACTCGCTGGAACTCTCTTCTCCTGCAGACTCATTTTCCCGAAATTAGAATTGGTCCAACACAGGTGTCCCCAACCTCTGGTCCACACAAGCAAACAAAGCCCCCCATCTGTGAGATGCAGACAGCACACAAAACCACGTACCCTCTGGTCCACGGAAAAACCTCTCTCCACAGAATCGGTCCCTGGTCCAACACTTTTTAAGAATAGAAACGTATTTGTTTCTCGCCAGAATCAGTACATGATATGGCCAAAGAAACTTCAATCTCTACCCAAGGTAGGGCAGTAAATAATTCTTCTGAAATTCTTTGCGCCAAAAACTACACTAGGCAACTTACTGTCTTTGCAGGAGGCTTCGGCTTCTGCTGAAGTGCTTTCTTGGCCTTTGCTGCAGCTGCCTGGGCCTGATGAATCCGCTCTGGAAGGGAGGAGCAGGAGCAGTTCTCAAAGAGATGCTGAGAGGGAGAGACATGCACACCTAGGCAGCCCTTTCCTTAAAAAATACATGTATGGTTCCAAAAATTCTCCTCTGCTGGGTGACATAATTTGTCAGCCTAGAACAGGTGAGTCGTACATGGAAATTACTAGGGTTCTAAAGACACATTTATGATATCCTCTGAAACCCTGTTCCTGTAGGCAGCTTTAACGCCTTTCACTTTAAATTATGAATATGAGGAAGCAATGGCTATTCAGAGAGAACAAGAGGAATATTGTGGGTATCCTCTCAGTAATGGCAAAATTTATAGTAAAGATTGCAAAACATGTTAGGTAGGTAGGTAGGAACGAGACACTTTCTATATGAAGAGCAGCAGCTAGCTTTTCCTCCCCCCCCCCTTCATTTCTGTAACGCAATGAGTGTTACATAAGAGGACGGTGCAGGCCTGACTTCATGTTTGCAACAAACTGACATTACAATAAACTAAACACAGTTAGGTCCCTCCAGCCAATACTTACCAAACTCCTCTTCACTCCTGTCTCGGTGGAGATATATCCACAGTTTGCGACCAATATCGTATTTTACACAGGGGTCTTTCTCATAGTGCAATCGATCTAAAGCACCACTCACCACAGTGTTAACCTAAGAAAAGGATTCACCATGAAATCAGAGGTGCAAAGGACTTAGTGAATTTAGAAGCCAGCTATAAGAGACTATAGGGAAAGAATGTTTTTGAGGCATGAGAAATATACACCCCCAAGTAGGAACTGGATACCCAAACCATTCCAAGCTGAGAAGCAAGATGGATGAAAAACACATATAAAGCTCTTTGGATATTCAGATCTACAGAAAGATCTGTAGATCTAAAGTTAAGGTCTACATCTTTTATTGCAGCTTTAATTCTAAGATAACCCAGTTGCAGTAGCAGATCCTATCCCTGCACATTATCAGTTTGCGGAGAAATAATCAAAAATTTATAAAAACGTATTTTGTGACTCCATTAGCTAATCTGCAAATCTCTTCACATTCTATTAAATTACGGTCTTAAAAAATGATCGCAATGTGTTGCTACTTTCAGTTGAAATAAACACAGATATTTATGGGGATTCTGAGACACCAGTAATGTGGCTTAAACATTATCCCGCTTACCTGAGCACTGGTGACATCAGGAGCAAGAAACTGGGAGTCCTTCAGAAGCTCGCAAATTTCAGCACGAGTCCCCTCTCCATTTGGAAGACGGGCTGCAGCATCTCGAACTGAGATGATAGCAAAAAAAAAAAGATCAGTCAGGATCCTGATAAGAATCCTCTGCAACTTTGTGAAAGCTATGAAGCTACTCTGCATTGTCAAACGATACATTCACCTTGCTATCTCCTCTGTGTGTGTGGTTTTGTAGCCCAGCTCTTTTATTTGCCAACTTCAAAAATTAAACTTGGAATCATAATGTAGTGAGGATCTTTTTAGCCCACCTTTCAATAAATAATTTTCAAGATGGCTTTATAACATAGTTTAAAACTAAAAACAAATTAAATTCTATCCTGCTATGTTATCAATCGTGTCCTCCTACTGCAAAATTCAATGGAGACATGGAATCTCTCTCTGTGTCTCTCTTTCTCTCTCTCTCTCTCTCTCTCTCACACACGCACACACACACACACCAATAACTTACCAAGAGACAATATGGTGACATATGCAGGTCGATCAGATCGCAACAAAGAATGTTCCCGGGGTTTGTTTAGAGATGTTTCCTTATCAAACACTCCTTTCACAGGACCCACCACTGATTCAAAGCCATGCATACAGAAAGTGAACGCTTTGTGAGGTTGGCTGTATCGATAACGCTCCTGCAGACATAAAAGGATGAAGGACACCCGAATAAGAGATTCCCAGAAGAAGACAGCAGAGCAATATAGGTTAACATGTACGGTTAATGGTAAATATTGATCATATTTAAATACAAATGGAGGCATATGGAGGGAGAAGTCTCTCTGCCACAAAAGCTACGCTCTCAGATGGATTTGCAGAACTTCCAGGTGTAATGTTTACTTGATAAATGTAATGAACAACAGATAAAGAGTGATGGGGGGGGGGAATGAAGTACCATATGAAAGAGAAGAAAGTACTGGCAGTATGACATTTTGCTTCTGAACCCAAAAAATTATACCATCTATTTTATCTGAAGCTCTAACATGAAAATACCTCATTTGTTTTCACTGAAAATTCTAAGACTCGGCTGACAGCAATCCGCAGGATTTAAACATGTGCATTTAGCATTTCCCTACTAGGCAATATGTGCGATGCAAATGATGAACAATAAACATTCAAAATGTTGATCCCATTAACCGGAATAAAATGAACTGAGGCAGAGCAATGGCCCAGGGGTTTTTAAACTGGGGGTAATTTGAGCATATTCCGGAGGTAATGAGCAATTTATAATTGCTGGTTTGTGACTCAAAGACCTGTTTTGGACTGTTGCTATCAAGATGCTTGTGCAAAGCAACAGAGACCAGTTTTACTGTAGGGGTAACAATGTTGTTGGAGACTGGGGGATGGGGTGGAAAGCACTTAAGAACCATTGCAACCGTAGCTGAGGCTGCATCTTTGCTATCCTTACCTGTTCCTGGAAAACACGTTTCTCTTCTCCAGTGCTAGGCCGGACTATATAGTCTGTCCTTCTGAAACAGACAACAGTGTGAGACTCAACGAGTCATAATGACTACAGGTAGTCTAGGATTACAGTTATAAGTCATGCAGGTTGTTAAGCGGGTCACCATCATGCCCAATTTCACAACCTTTATTGTGGCAGTCGTTAAGTGAATCATTGTGGTTATTAAATAAACAAATCCATTGTCCTCGATGGACATTTTTTTTTTTGCAGGAAACGGGAAGTAAACGCAAAAAAAAAATAATTGTAAATCACAATCACATAACTGCAATAGGCCATAAATGTGGGACAGTTGCTGAGTGCCCAAAATGCAATTATATGGCTATTAGGAGGTTGGGGGGAGGCCCTGGAACTTTGCATTTGGGTCATAACTAGATCTTAACTTCAAATGGTCACTAAGCAACTGGTTGTATGTTGAGAATGACCTGTACAGAGAAACTGTAACAATGACAAGGAAGGAAAATATTTTTTTAATCTTTTCTTGGCAGCTGAGCTGGCTACCTGGTTAAAACTAATACGAATCAAAAAAGTTGATGAAAGTCAGAGAAAATAATTGGAAACATATGCGAGCCAATTTTAGGAAAGCTAGAAACCAGTTTTTGAGCATTATGAACACAGGAATGCCTATCGCATTTTTAAGTACCTCTGATAAGAGGGACACGTGACTGATTAATAAATGCAAAGGATATAATTCAAAATTATTCTTAGTGTAATGGACATCTGCATTCCATGTACGCTAGTGAATGAACCTAATTTTAGAAAATCATTAATCATCAAACGGAAAAGATAATCACTAATAATATTGTTCTAGCTCAGTGATGGCAAACCTTTTAGAGTCCAAGTGCCTAAAAACTGGCCCCATCCCCGCTCTGCCCATTCCCTGCCCGCAGGGCCACTCACCGCCTTCAGGGCCCGCTGCAGATCACCCAGGCAGCCCAGCAGCGCTATGGCGGTCACATCCTCTGCCTGCACCCTGCAGCATCAGCTGTGCACAATGGGGCGTGAGGGCAGAGTCTTGTCTATGCTGCCTGGCTGCCATGTCCTTGGCTGCGCTGCTTCACGTGGGCCACGCTTGGGGGCGACTCTCCTCCAAGGGGGCTGCTGGGGAGGAGGAGGTCGCGAGGCGAGGCGAAGCTGGGGCAATGGCATGTGTGCCCACAGAGAGGGCTCCAAGTGCCACCTCTGGCACCCGGCCATAGATTCGCCACCACTGTTCTAGCTCTTTGAATTGTTTAAAATTTATCTTTACTTTTGCATGCAAAATGCAGCTAAGAATTACTCATTAGTAGCAGGATAAGCATGAACCTTCCAGGACTGCATTTAGTGCTGACTACTAAGACTGATTTTAAGGTTTAGGCAAAGTTCAACTTTTTTTAAAAAAAAAAGGCTTCTGAAATCCATAAATACTCACACTCGGGGGACTGGTGTGGTAGCATCTGAACTATCTTCGTTGTCCTGACAAAGAGAAAGAAATACTATGAAACACGATGGATTAGCCAGTGGGACCTGTACCAGTTGAAATAAATATTGGTCTCACCTTGAAGAAAGCTTGGTCTTTCGTCTCCAACCAAAGTTGGAAGAGAGCTGCTAGCTCCTTCTCATGGTCTTGGGAAGAGCCTAGAGAAAAAAAACAAGCCACACAGATTATCATCTACCACTAATACTAACACTACAACAGCCACACTATAGATGCTGAGATACCCCACCCTCCATCACTTGATCCTTCTGCTATAAAGATTGCAAAAGTGTGGAAATAATATTAACATTTATTTACACCACAACAGAAATTAGGAAAGATAAGAAAGTAAATGTATACAGATCTATCTAGGTGACAAGATTTAATAAGAATGGTGGAGAAGACAGCTTAGCAACTTTACCTATCAGTTTCCAATGTTGAGTTTTTTCCTTGAATTCAACAAAAGGAGAAAAGCTGGAAGAAGCATCTGTAACAAAAACATTTTACTAGGTTTTGGCACAACTCTAATGTATTTTTATATCATTCAGACTGTAGCACTGGATTAAAGTTCAATCTACAGAAAAAGCCAAGTTTGATCAATGCTCATTAGTGCTTTTCGATAAACTGTCACACATGCTCTATCCAAAAACTTTGTAACTGAATCTATGGACTTCTATCCCAGTATGAACTGTAGCTAGAAGCATCACTATACTTGGGAAATCTGTATTTTCCACTGCAAAGCAATCCACAAGAAGAATTCTATTTAAAATCTGGCATGAAAATGGTAGTGCAACACAAAATTGCAAACATGTAGCACAACTCTTACAGGCATAAGACTTTTTTTATTTGTGAAAGATTTTCTTTAATAGTTAAAGCCACACAGATTTGACAATATGAAACACCCAGATAAAAAATATTGTTTACTATTTTTTATCATGTGGAATAAAGTTTTTGAAGACATTTCTTTAGGATCAAAAGGTTGTTTTAACTGAATGAATTGGAGAGAAAGACAGATATGATCTCAACAAAGTATTCATTCTGAAAGCTGCTACCCTTTGACATTAAGTGGCTTGTATAAAAAAAAATCCAATAACAAGGACAGATTGGATATAAGCAAATTCCAACCAAAGTGTATAGCTTAAATTTTTGTTGAGTACCAAGTAACTGCTAATTGTCAGCTTTAATGGAATCACTTGTTTTGGATGGTAACCAAAAAAAAAGTGTCTCACCTCTGCTGACTCCAGTGAGATATTGCAAGGCAGGTAAAACCAGTTCTGACCAGTTGGGGGCAAAGGAGAACCAGCTGTTTAATGTGCTGGCAGGAGAAGACTGCCAGTCCATCACTTTATCTTCAAGCTGAAGGAAACAAGATGACAGGTAAAATTTATACTAATTATACAAACTGTGAATGGCCTGACATTCAATGTGAAGCTCAGAGTCATCCATGGCTAACTCAACTGCCAAACAAATAAAACTAGAGAGACCCTGACCTCCACATAGGGATATTTATTATTTATTAATTCAATTTTTGGCAATGCCTGACTCCACTTGGGCAAGTGGAAATCACAGGGCTGAAAACTGTTCATGGGCGAGGAAAAGAGGAAAGGCAACCAACACAAAATGTGTCCCCTGAATTTGGAAGGCTGGTCTTATAGAATTCTAGCCTGAGAAATTCCAATTCCAGAAAGGCATCCTGAGATGCGAAAACAAGCTCTTACCATTGAGAGACTAGCAGGACCCTCTAACAACAGGATCTCGAGAAGTAGAGAAAAGAAGCTGGAAGAGATTTCATTCACTCCAAGACATGGCTTGATGTCTTCAAGAGGCCTTGAAAAGAAGGTAGGTTAACTCAGGTATTATGGCAATCACGCTTGATATATCATTCTGTCGTCAAAGCATTTTCACATACATTATTCCAGATACCCTAATACAAGATATATCAACAATGTAATCTGGGAGAACTGTTAAGAGGTTATCTAATAAATTTGTGACTGACCCAATTATGCATCTGAATAGTCTTCTCTTACTTAACCCTTCTCCCCAGCCTACTAAGGTGCTTTTTCAGTCATAATCTGTAGCTTTAAAACAAGAGAAATGTGTGTTATGCTTCCTCATCTGAATATACAGATGTATTTGCGAATAACTGTCTCCTCTGTTATTGGACTTGTATGTTGTAAACTGACTTAATCTGTCTCTGTGCCTTACCATTATTTATTTGACATGTTTGCAGCTTACAACAGATTAATTGATGCATGGGATATTCAGTATGAAACTTTGCTACTGAGAGCAAAATGTTTTCATGTTGATTAATGTCAATGTGGCTAGAACTAGTTTCATTACAACTATAATTTATCTTACATTTTGGGGAGTTACACATACTTACTCTTCTTTAACAGATGGGAGGGATGGGGGATCCCACAGGGGAGGAATGGGGGAGGGATTTTGAGAAACAGGATGGATTCCTTCTGAGTTGCCAAGAGATTCAGAGAAATCTTCAGCCTCAGATTTAATCACTTTTAGCTTCTTTTTCTTTTTCTCCTCCTTTTCCTTCACCTTCTTTTTGAGGACAGCAAGGTCAAACAAGGCTTTTTTAAACAAGAGCAAAAAAAAGATTTACTTAGTTACAAAACAGTTTTTAAAAACAATCTATAATTTAGAAACATGAGTATTACTACTATGCACCAAGAATTAAAAAAGCCCTTTACATTACTAATATAACTATTTAAATGCTTTATACAGGAAGCAGATTCTTAGTTCAGTGGCACTTATCCCAAAATAAATATGCAAATAGTTGTAGCTGTAATTGTACAGTATACAACAAGTGTGATTGTACACATTTATTTGGTTACAGACATACCGAGATTCTGCTTTTTTGCTTGAAGATAGATAGCCTTTAATTCTCATGGATCTTTTTGCAACAATGCAAAAAGTTTCACTTGAATCACAAGTTTGCTGCATTTGATTCACTGACCTGCCAAAGATCCTTTCCTGCCAGCATTCACACGTGTCATGATGTCATTCAGAGTCAAGTCCCCTGTCATCAAATCAGGGTGATTCTATGCAGAAGAGGAGAGCAAACAAAAATCAAGTTTAACTCAAAAAGAAACCAGCAAGAAGAAAAACACCCTAGCACAGTGATCCTCAACCTTTCTAATGCCGTGACCCCATAATACAGTTCCCCATGTTGTGGGGACCCCCAAGTGGGTGTGGCCACCAATAAGAGGGAGTAGGACAGCTAGGGAAAAGGGAAAAAAATGGCGGACAGCATGGTTTGGCGACCCCCGTGAAATGGTCATTCGACCCCAAATGGGGTCCCGACCCACAGGTTGAGAACCACTGCCCTGGCAGCTTTCGATGGGATAAGACAAATGCCCAACTCTTGTAAGAGCCATACAAAGACCTGGGATCTCCGTTCAGTACTCTACAGAAAAAAGCATAGCCCCTCGAAGTTTTGGTCCTCAAACCAAATTTAGGTTGCAGCCCTCTATATATTTCTGTGCAAATAAACTCACTCAACACAGTTAAGATGTTTGAGTGCATATTAGCATGAGAGAAAGGAAGTCGGGCCTGTTAGAGCCTCCTTTGCTACTTTAAATGGCGCTAATCACTAAGTATTAAAGAGCTACCGTCTCACTGCAATTTAACTTACTGGCTGCCGCTTGCGCTTTTCATGGTGTGTCTTCAGCATCATCTTCAAGCTATTCTCACCGAAATCAAGTTTATCTGGTGGCAAACAAGCCCAATATTATTAAAATGATGATGTGAATATATTTACATAAAATTATATCACAATGAATATAATTTATATATTCTATTCTATTTTCTAATTGTATTCATATTCTATTCTATTTTGTAATTCTATTCTATTCCATTCCATTCCATTCCATATTTTCTATTCTATTCTATTTCTATTTCTACAGGTAGTACTCGACTTACAACCACAATTGAGCCCAAAATTTCTGTTGTTAAGTGAGACCTTTGTAACATGAGTTTTGCCCCGTTTTACAATCTTTTTTGCCACAGTTGTTAAGTGAATCACTGCAGTTGTTAATTTAGTAACAAGGTTGCTAAGGGAATCTGGCTTCCCCATTGACTTTGTTGGTCAGGTGGTCACAAAAAGTGATCACATGACCCTGGGACACTGCGACCGTCATAAATATGAACCAGTTGTCAAGCATCTGAATTTCTATCACATGACCAGGGGAATGCTGCAAAGGTTATAACTGTGAAAAACAGTTATAAGTCACTTTTTTCAGTGCCACTGTAACTTTGAACGGTCACTAAATGAACAATTGTTAAGTGGAGGACTACCTGTATTCTATTCAATGTGTAACATTTACATTATTCTTTTAGACCTCTACCTTCTTTAACCATTCTTCTTCAAAATGACTCATAATTATTGCCTACATCACAGGTCGGCAACCTGCGGCTCCGGAGCCTTCCCTGGTGGCTCCCAGCCTCCTCTGCCTTTGCAGAGAGAGACAGAGACAGAGAGAGGCAATTGCGCGTCCCTGCTTCCCTCTCTCTCTCTCTCTCTCTCTCTCTCTCTGTGTGTGTGTGTGTGTGTGTGTGTGTGTGTGTGTGTAAAAGATTGCACTCACAGTGTTCTCTGAGGAGCTGAAAAGCTTTCTGGACGGAGCTCCTCCCTTTGCTGCGTCTCTGCAGGAAGCAGGAAGGGCAGGAGAGAGCTAGCTAGCCCAGCTAGGCTGACTCAGGAAATCTGGGAGTTGAAGTCCATGAGTCATAAAAGAGACGAGGTTGCTTACCCTCAGCTTGTTGGACAACAGCTTGAAGCTTGCCAGGTGAGCAGCAGATAGGAGAGAGAAAGAGAGAGAGAGGGAGGGAGAGGAAAGAGAGAGAAAAAAAAGAGAGTGGGGGAAGAGGAATGGCAGGCAGACTAAGGGCAGATAGAGAGGGAGGGAGGGAGAGACAGACAGAGAGAGAGAGAGAGAGAGAGAGAGAGAGAGAGAGAGAGATCCTTTTGACATCTAAAATGAAGATAACACTGCATATATCCTTTTTTTACCTGTATGTGTATGTATGTGTATATATATATATATATGTGTGTGTGTGTGTACACATACATACATACACACACACACATATATACACACACACAAACACACACACACACAAACACACACACATCTATAATAAAGGTAAAAAAGGATATATGCAGTGTTATCTTCATTTTAGCTATCAAAAGGATTTTGTGGCTCCCGGTGTTTTGTTTTTGGTGGGAAACGGGTCCAAGTGGCTCTTTGAGTGTTTTGGGTTGCCTACCCCTGGCCTACATATTTGGATTCAATTGTCCATTGTCTCTCACAGGTAAGAAAAGATGCTTTTACAAACCAGCTTTAAAAAAAAAAAAAATCTAGAAAAACTAGTTTTCCCAATAAAAATAAATATCTTGCAAAATTTTATTGTGAAGAAATTTTTCACGATGATTTAAAATACAACACCTGCTGTTTTCATGTCTTGGGTTGATAATGTGGGTATCACTCTGAGAGGAACAGCAGGACTTGAACAATGGGCTGGAGAACCTGGAATCCAGGAACTCAAATCTGAAATACAGAACAGTCATGTTTTTAGAGGGATGCTGGGTGCACAACTGTTTTCCTAACCTGTAGACATAATCCGCTATCTAAGTAACTTGACAATTTCACTTCTTTAATCAGAAAAGCGAGAACCATATAAAAACCTTTAAAAGACCAGAAGGAAACAAGGACTGTTAAGTTAAATCTATTTCTAAACTCTCATTCTAAAGAAACAATGTTATTTTAGGATGTTGATGGCAACAATAGAAAGAGTAACATTCTTCAAAATAAATAATGGTCTGTAATCATAACTTTGGTTGAAAGACACGTTGAGAGAAATAGCCTAGATAATATCTGGGCACATTTCCTAAGCAGAACAGGAAATTTAAGCGGACAGTACTGCGGAGTATAACATATTTAGAACCTTGACCAAAAAGCACTTTCTGTTTTAAACACATGAAAAACATTATATTACACTTCAGCAAACAAACGTCCCTGAATACATCAAACGTTGCTGACTACTCAACTTTAAAATCTTGTTTAACATGGTACAGAGTAATTCTTATCTCAACCTAGAACGTTGCAAATATGCTGTCACTTCAGTTTCCTACTGCTAAGTATACTGGCTCAAATTGTGGGCTCTGAAGTCCAAATACTCTGATTAATTATGTAATAGCATATTACAAATTTCTACTTCCATGTTCTTTTACCAGTCTATATTTTTAGACGATACTATGTTAGCAAGGAGTTTCTAGAACAGTGTTTCTCGCCCATGGAAGCTTTAAGATGGATGGACTTTAACTCCCAGAATTCCCAAGCTAGCCGTGGTGGCTGAGGAATTCTGGGGGTTGAAGTCCCCCTCATCTTAAATTGTCTTAAATTATTCTGTACCTGAAGGTTTCAATTAATCCACCAAATCCACACTAGTACCTTCTTCATCTGAGGATAGGGTGGTGTCCCCACATTCTTCTTTAACTTCCCTGAGGATTTTAAGGTATCGACGATGTGTTCGCCTATCTCGTTCTTCAGCAGCGTAAGCAGCTGCTGAGTATTTTCTCTTCACGGCCAGATCCGATCCCCCCTTCCTAGCGAGTTCTAACAGATGCTGAAACAGACACCGTGAAAAAGGCAATTTCAGATGCTATAGCTCTCTGAAATCTGCAGATCTGGTTTTACTGTTCATGAGATCTAGAGTTCTACAAAGGCAACAGGTGATCAAGACTACCTACAGAGACAGTTTAATATCTACACGATGCCCCACCATTGTGTCTTCCAATACTTACATTCCGGGAGGCAAGAATCTGTTTCAGCAATCGATAAAAATACTGCTGCTGGGAACTGAGATAGCGCTTATACTGGGACTTGAAGCAAAGCTGTCTGTACTTCACCACTTCAGGATTGAAATGTCCATCTGTAAGAAGAACGTTCATGTTATTCCTTTATTTTGCTTAATCCTAGCAACCGGCAGAGGAAGGATTAGGTTACTAAGAACACTGGCAATTGTTAAGGATCCCAAGCATGCTTCGAAATTTCTGTATATGTAAATAAGGATAAAAGTGATTCAAGGTTCCTCCGAATCAGATCTCCCATCCTACAGAAGAGCCAGATTCAATAGCACGGATGTTATTGGAAAGGGCTGGTCTATTTGGGAGACAGTCTTGTTTTCTCGGATTTTAAAGAAAGAGATAGGAACACTCCCATTCTCATCATGAAAATCACACCAAATTTCCAGGAATGTATCAAACAATTCTGTTGCTGAAATTTGGACATTTATTATTATATGTCTGCAATATGACTTTAAGAGATACAAACTGACTGCTCACTGTCAATGTAAGAATCAACATATGGGACTGGGTAGCTCCAAGTCTAAATCCACAACTCTTTCAGCCAACCAGCACAGTCAGGGTATTTATAGTGTACGATAAAAAAAAAAAAAAAAATCAAAATAGCTGCAGTGACAATGTGACTGAAACACCAACTTTTTTTATGTGGGTCACAGAGTGTTTCTAATGGAAATAAAATCAAGTGAGAACTCTCATATAAGCCATCTTGATCTCTCAGTATAAAGGTGAAACACAAATAACAAACAACGTGTATCATCTGGACTTAAGAGTACCTGGGAACACTTTAAACATTAAGTAGTATGTTCAACCTCATGCAACAGTTCATAGAAAGGTTATTATAGGAAACTAGTATTTTCATATTTTAGTTAATAACAACTCATCATCCTGTATCTTCAATGATTCTGAAGCTAGATTTATTTATCTTCTGTATTTATATAGCTGTCCCATATAAGACTGGTTCATAAGCAGGTGTAATTTTAACATGCAGTATAAAACAAGACAAGCCATTAAAGCTAAGAACAAAGTCGAGTTCTAAAAATATATCTGTTAAACTGTCACTGACCTCGGAAGAGTTTTTGGGCAATATGAAGTGGGTTTCCAAATCTGAAGTTCTCTCCATTAAATAGGGACAGGATAAGATTGTTCTGGTATTCGTGATTGTTTTCCGGGAAGCGGGGCAAAAACTTTTTTAAATGTTCTCGCTGTGAATCCACCAACACATCCTGCCAGGTTGAAAGACTGACAACTTCAAAAAAGATCTCAGGCTGCACAAAATATAACAGATAGAATAAAATATCAGAAAAGATTTCTCATTTAAAAAAAAATATAAGCTGCTTATTTCTCTTAGCAGCTCTGGACAGCTTGCAAAGATACAACAAAATGTTCATTAAAACAGGACAAATATAAACTAGAACAGGAGTGGTAGATATAATGGTAAAATACATGGGAAAATCTGTTTTGAACTCATTCCTAAGCAGTAGTTAGGAGAAGCCTGCTTCAGTTACAGTTTGTTCCACTGGAGAAAACAGAATTGGTTTGTCTAACATATCTATGGCAAAACACACAAAGGAGGAGGGGGGAGGAGGTAAGATAGGAGATTTGGTCATTAGGCTGGGCCTCTTAATTTTGGCAGAAAGAAAGGTAGTACTGTATGTAAAATCCAGATTCAAACAATTTCCCCTTCTAAAACCAAGAGGATTTTCTAAAGAACCTTTGGAAGCACAGTTATTCATTTGGTAAAAATAAAAGAAAAAGCTATCACATTACTTTTTTGAATGATCAATTCAACAGCAGTGTATTTGCATTCTGGATGTTATGCACAGGTAACAGGTTTCCATTTTTACTCTATTTTTTTTTAGAGGTATCAAAAGAGTCACTCAAAAGTCAAAGAATTATACTAAATAGACACTTGGCCTCTTTTACTCAAGCAATTATTCTAACGTCTGATCCATTTCCCTGAATTTACAAGTGATTCTAAGAAAAATGAAACACAACTTAGACAAGAAAGTGATACTCGTTCAATAAGTGATCCTGATCCAGTTACTGATACACAAAACTGTTTGAATATTTCCTGACTAAATTACAGAATATGTCCTGATTACTCTTTCTGATTTAATATTTATGAAGATAACGATAATTGTTCAGTTCATATGTTTGTTTTATTACTTGGATGTCTACTCACATCTTCCAAAAGATCTTCAGGAAGGCTAATGCGTATGGATCCCAGCATGCAATCCTCCATAATTTGGGTGCCATGTCCTTCCCCAGTTGGCCCCAGTTCCAATGGATCAGTGAGCATATGATCCAGGGAGTCCATTATTCATACACCAGTGAACCACTTGAAAAAAAGAAACTTATTATAATTCAAAAGTTATTTTTGCAATTCAACCTACCAAAATAGGGGGGGAGATATACTGTGTATTCCTTGCTGCAGTGCATTATATCTGATGAATTCATTATCCATCTCCTATTGCAAAGTTTTTCCTTTTATTCTAAGCCCCCTGGAAAAAGATTGTGTCACAGAAAATGCTATGCTGGCTCTTTAAATGGGCCAGAGATAGAACAATTGTTTTCTTCTATCTTCCCAGCCAGACTAAAAAAAGTTCAGCTATTCCTCATGGCTACCCTGAGATGGAATATCTTAAAAACTGGAACAATTCTTACTCCACTTGTCTGCCAAACAAACAGGAACCCCAAATTAATAGCCAAGGAAAGGACAATCAAATTAACCTGAAGTACAAAATGTTTACTACTTCTTTCTGGACTTAAAGAATTGATCTTCTTCCTTTGCCTTTTCTTGATACTCCCCAATGCTTACAGATCTCTCTATCTCTTTTTAGATGAGATGACTTTCCAAATAAACAAAATAAAAATGTGTTAAATAAGAATGAAAAAGCAAACAATGAGAATGCCTTGAGGGTTTTCCAGTGTCTTTGTTCGCTTTACTCCACTGGTAGGAGAGACAAGCAAGAGAGAAAACAGCAAAATGCCAAGCACCCCACTGATCCAAGATTATATGAACATAATTATTTAAATTGGAATACATCTTCAAAAGTTAATTTTATGCATGTGTCATATATTTAATATCAAAGCTGCAGTGCTTATTTTGAAACAAATATACAAATGACTGAAAACAGATATCTTACCTTGGAATTTTTATTCGACGTACACTACAACCCATGAACATTAGTTAGACAGGGAAGAAAAAGGCTCATAGCTGCCATCTGAAATACATTGATGCTGGGAAAAAAAAATTAGCATTCATTAGCAACATTCTCCTCTAAAGCTTTTTCTTTTATTGCCTGAATCATGTCAATGCAATTCTATTTCAAATGAACATTTCATGTACTTTTTGCAAAAATACTCTTTTGTCAAAACAAGAATTCACTTGATTCTGAAAAACAATTATCAGCCCCTTAAAAATAAGATGTCTGTAACTTCACTCATATTGTAAAAGGAAGAGTTCCATCAATGACCATATATTTCAGTGGGGACAATTTTATGATAAACCATCTTGCGGGAGGAAAAAAAACCCCACTAACGCCTCAAAGAAAGAAAGATTATTCTTTGTATCTTTTTAAATATTTTTCTTCTTCTTCTCTCCTCCTCCTCCTCCTTCTGATCTGTTTTTGCTCTTTCTCTGTTGTTGTTGTTAATTGCGAAGTCATGTCCGACCCATCGCAACCCCATGGACAACGTTCCTCCAGGTCTTCCTGTCCTCTACCATCTTCTGGAGTCCATTTAAGTTCACACCTACTGCTTCAGGGACTCCATCCAGCCACCTCATTCTCTGTCGTCCCCTTCTTCTATTGCCCTCCATCTTTCCCAGCATTAGGCCTTTCTCCATTGGGTCCTTCCTTCTCATTAGGTGGCCAGAGTATTTGAGTTTCAACTTCAGGATCTGGCCTTCTAAAGAGCAGTCGGGGTTGATCTCTTCTAGGACTGATCGGTTTGAACGCCTTGCAGTCCAAGGGACTCACAGGAGTCTTCTCCAGCACCAGAGTTCAAAGGCCTCCATTCTTTGGCACTCAGCCTTTCTTATGGTGCAACTTTCACAGCCATACATTGCAACTGGGAAAACCATGGCCTGGATTATACGCACTTTTGTTGGCAGGATGATGTCTCTGCTTTTTAGTAAGCTGTCTAGATTTGCCATAGCTTTCCTCCCCAGGAGCAAGTGTCCTCTTCCTCTTCTTTTTCCCTTCTTCTCCTTCTTCTTCCTTTCTCCTTCTTCTTCTTGCCTTCTTCCTATTTGCTCCTTCTTCCTGTTCTTGTTCTTCCTCTTCTTACCTTTTTATCCTCCTCTTTTTCCGACCCACCAAAACTCAAGGCGAGGAGGGGGGTCTTCGTGCAGGGACCACCCCCCCAAAACAAATGACTTAAGTCAGGGGTTCTCAACCTTGGCAACTTTAAGACTTGTGGACTTCAACTCCCAGAATTCCTCAGCCACTGGCTGAGGAATTCTGGGAGTTGAAGTCCACAAGTCTTAAAGTTGCCAAGGTTGAGAACCCCTGACTTAAGTACAGTATTTTTCAACCACTGCTGAGGGAAACCTAGACACCCAGGGGACAATGAATGGCGATAATAACAAGAACAACATGAATATCCCAAAGATATTTTTTCACGAGGCCACTGGACTTTCTTGTCTTCCTCGTGAAAAAGCATCTTTTGGGACAACTTATGACCTGGATGACTGAGAATCTCCACAGATAACATGAAGGAGAAATCAGTCAGGGGGGGGGAACTTTTGTACGTGTGAAACCGGGGGGGGGGGGCGCCGAGGGGAAATCTTCGCCCCCCCCTTTCCACACAACTCACCCCACCCTGGTCAACCCCCCCCCCCCAAATCCCACCTCTCCTCCCGCTACCCTGGTTACCTCAGCAGCCCTCCGGCGGCCGCGCGACCTTCCTCCGCCGCATTCCGCTTCCAGGTCGCCGCGGCAGAGACGGCGGCAGCGTCCACGCGCGGAAGGCGTGGACAGAGGGCGGGATGCGCATGCGCGCTCGAGGCCCGGAGGCCTTCCAGCCGCAGTCGCCTTCCCCGCTGCGGAAACGCCTCTCTTCTTCGAGAGGACCGGCATGCGCGCATGCGCGACCTGCTGACTGCTCGGGTTGGCTTCCGCCCGCGCGCGCCTGCGTGCGTCTCCCCTGCGCAGGCGCGGGCGCGGCTTTCTCGCGCTGGGCTTTGCGGAGCTTTGCTGCAGAAAGAGACGCCCGGGCAGTTGCAAGCTAATAAAGCAGGCTGACTTTGCACGATGCGTGTCTTAAGGTCAATCCTCATCCAAGACTTGCGGGTTGGGCAACGGTTGGCTTGCCTTTAATAAAAACTACAGTGGGACTCTGATCAAGGGGGAACTGATGTGATGGTCTTGGGTGCAGTAGTTGTTCCTGCACCATTGGGAGACTCTGCGAATTCATAGAGACCTAACTAACATTTAGTGCAGGGGGTTCCCAGCCGGGGGTGCGAGATGATATTCCAGGGGGTGCGAAAACTTGGGTTTTCAAAATTATAGTGTACATGCTGAGAAATGTTAAATTTACACAAGCCCAGAACTTAAGGGAGAATTTTTATAAGATGTTTTATAGATGGCACCTTGATCCACAAAAAATGTCTCTTATGTACCCTGACTTGCAGCCTGAGTGTTGGAGATGTGGCTGTTTGGACGCCACTTATTATCATACCTGGTGGTCGTGTAAAAATATAAAAGCTTTTTGGATTAAGATATGGTGGAATATTCAAAGAATTTTTAGAAGGAGGGTAAAATTTACTCCGCAATTATTTTTGTTAGGTATTGTTACTGATTGTGATGCTAAGGAGGTTATATTAATGTTAAATTTGATTACAGCCGCAAGGCTGTTAGTAGGGCAATATTGGAAGAAGGAATCTTTGCCTACTTTGCAAGAGTGGTTTTTTAAAGTTTTTTATCTGGCAGAAATGGCAAAGATTTCAGCTTTTTTAAAGGGGCAATCGCAAGAGAAATTTCTTGCTGTATGGGAAAAATGGATAAATTTTATACAACATAAATTGGATATAAAAAAATATTATTTAGCCTTTTTGTAACTTGTATATAATTTTTGATATTTTATAGATTGTTTTCTCTTTTTTTTTCCTTTTCCTATTTCTTTTTCTCTTTCTTTCTTTTTTCTTTTTTTCTCTTTTTAAGTATTTTTTTTTCCTTAACGTTTATGTCATATATATTTTATTATTAACTATTTTATAAGTTGTAAAAATTTGTTTAGGTTTCTTAAAATTTTAATTAAGCCTATATTCAGCTCTGGGAAGCTCGGGGGGGGGATGGAGGGGGTGGTTTGGGAGGGGTTGGGTGAGGGTTGTTTTGTTTTGTTTTTCTTGTTTGTTGTTGTTTTTTGTTGTTATTTGTAAAAACTTTTAAAAATTTTCAATAAAAAAAAATTATAGTGTATATGCATAATTCGTTGCCGTTTCAAGCTTTTGTAAAGGGGTGTGAGAATATATCAGAAGCGTTCTGGGGGTGCGGGATATAGAAAAGGTTGGGCACCACTGATTTAGTGGATGCACTCGCCGATGCGATATTCCCAAGAAAGGTACATAAAGCTGGCTACAAAGAGTAAAAGGGATATCGCCAATGGATACAGGGGTTCTCAACCTTGGCAACTTTAAGACTTGTGGACTTGAACTCCCAGAATTCCTCAGCCAGCTTCCACAAGTCTTAAAGTCTTAAAGCTTTGCTGGCTGAGGAATTCTGGGAGTTGAAGTCCACAAGTCTTAAAGTTGCCAAGGTTGAGAACCCCTGGCATTAGGAGAGCATAGCTATGCTTAGGAGGGTGCTGGCTTTTTCAGCCTGCAGAATGGAAACGTAAAGAAGGTTCGAAAACGCCCTCCTGAAAGGATTTTATTGTGCTTATGATTTTAGTATGTTTAAGTTTGACATTAGCATTTATTTTATATATAGTAACCATTTTATATTGATAATTATAGTGTTATCATGTAATCATTGTTTTGTTATTTTGTAATCATTATTTTGTAGTTAATTGCTTGATCAGATGCTTTATATATATATTGGAAAAGTAAGGGCTTCATGCTTTAAGTATCGGTGATTGCTTATATGAAAAGAGCACAGTAAGGGAGGGGATGAGATGGCTGGATGGAGTCACTGAAGCAGTAGGTGTGAACTTAAATGGACTCCAGAAGATGGTAGAGGACAGGAAGACCTGGAGGAATATTGTCCATGGGATCGCGATGGGTCGGACACGACTTCGCAATTAACAACAACAAGGGGAGGGGGAAAGGAGTTACGGATGGAGCCTGGGTTGCTGTGTATGAGTCATCATCTAGGAATTGTTTTTTTGTGCCATCTTATGCCTGGTACCAACACCTGATCGCTTTGTGCTGAAAAGGTATAAAAGGTTGTTGCCTTCATCTCTCTACCAGCCACGAAGAGAGATGGGTTCACCCAACTCTGTTTCGATCAAAATAAAAGTTGTTTGCTTGCTGAAACCTCAGCTCAGGAGTTTCTTTGGCTCTTTTAAATTCCTGAGTAATGCTGGGGCAATTGTGAGGTTAAGTGGAAAACCTTACACTCCTAAGCAAACCCATTCGCTCCGAATTCATTGGCGAGGTCCATTTTGCTCTCTGAATTCATGGGGATGTAACCCTAACGCTAAGTGGATTTTCCCCCTAATGGGATTTTTCCATGTACTTTACCAGGAAATGCAGATAAGCCAGGCTCGAAAAGTGAGCGCCGTCCTAAACATACCCATTCGCTCTGAATCCATTGGCGAGGTCAATTTTGCTCTCTACATTCATGGGGTTGTAACCCTAGCCGTAAGTGCGTTTCCCCCCAATGGGATTTTCCCATGTATTTTACCAGGAAACGCAGATAAGACAGGCTAGAAATCAATGAGGAACAATTGTCTCTCCCACTCGATTTGTGGGCATGGAAAGCTGAGCGGAGGGAGACACAGAGGTTGGCAAGGTAGTTTGTGAGGAAGCCATTCCGACCCTCTTCATAAGGAACACCTGGGGAAGGGTGATTTAGCTGGACACTGGAGAAAGGCAGAGTTGTCGGGAGCACCTGCTTGCTTTGGCATGCACCTTCCCGGCTTCTGTGGACCTCAGGTGGTTCATTGCTGGAGGTTTTTAAGAAGAGACTAGACAGTCACTGGTCTGAAATGGTATAGGGTCTTCTACTTGAGCAGGGGGTTGGACTAGAAGACCTCCAAGGTCCCTTCCAGCTCTGATTGAACTTTTGACTTTGTTTGTGGACTTATGGAGTTGGCTTTCTGCCTTCAGAATTTTGGACGGTGGGTTGGTTTCTGGAACCCTGGACTTGGGTTGGGGGCATTGTGACTTCTCCCTTGTCTCATGGCCCAGCTTGAACCTGGTTTGTGGAACCAGGGGATTCAGACTGTGGGGAACTGTGGGCAAGGAATTTGGGGTGTTGCTTAACTAGCACCATTGGTGGGTCATTTTGCGCTATGTTAGTGGTGCTACGTAATAAAAAAATCTTTACTTGACATCTGCCTTGGCATCATGACTCAGGTAAGAACAACAATCTTGTCAGTGTTGCTTTGGTGTCAACTACAACAGTTTTTACTTTCTGGAAATGCCAGAGGCAAGAATTTTGGAAACAGATTGGGTGCATTTATTTTAAATATGTTTTACTTATTATTGTTTAATTTGCACTAGTATCCACTTCTTGGTAAATAGGCAGTAAAATCTGAACCCTTTAAGTTACTGAAACTTTCCCAGTTACTAATTACAAAGCATTCAAGTGATTTCAGTAATGCTAACTGTCTCTGTAGAGTGGATGAACTAATAATAATAAAAGCCCTTAGCTACAAAATAAGCCAGAATTATTGCCACTTTTAAGGAAGGTCTATTTTTTTCCTTCCTACTCCAGTTTGTTGCAGGATGATGTGTCACTTGATATTGTCAAGCACATTTTGGAGCAATCATTTTGACTATGTATGTCTGCAGGGTGTCTATTCCTATTTAAGTGAATTTCCTCCTTAGAATGATAAAGCTGCTCTGTGCCATACACCATTTATTGCACCACAAAGGTTGGTGAAAATACATTTACTTCTTGGAATAATCTACTGTATTTCACAATAGCATCCAAGAAGAAATGCCAGGAGATTAATAAACATTTAGCATATATCCTTCGGTAAGAAAACTGAACTCTTGATCTCCTTAGCAAAGCAACAGGAAAAATTATTTTTTTTCCAGTTGGTTTTAAATAAATGCATGTTGTAGGTTTGAACAGGACCAGGACTCCAAAAAACTACCTCCAAGAAAAGTCTGCCATTTGTCCAACAGTGAAGTCTATTCTCCCCCTTCATTATGTTTCCTGCAGCACAAGCCACAATAAAATGAGTGTGAAGTCTGCAGTCTTGTCTATCTGAACAATAAATCTTATTTACATAAATTATTGGTGGCTTTGTTATAGTCATATGTTGAGATAATTTACAATCAAGACCACTCATTTCCCTAATGCAAAAAGAGCACTCAGTTCATGAAACAGGCCATAGAAATTTTTTATCTGGCTTATAGCGAAGGAAGGAAGGAAGGAAGGAAGGAAGGAAGGAAGGAAGGAAGGAAGGAAGGAAGGAAGGAAGGAAGGAAGGAAGGAAGGAAGGAAAAGATCTGAAGCTGAAGCACAGCAACATTTCCAGAAAGGAAAGTGGCCAGGGCTTATTTTCCAAAACTATTTTCCAACTGAAGAGTCTCCTTGTGGTAGCAACGGAATTAGGACAAGCATAATAAGCAAGTTTTGGCTTGTTCTGCATTCACCTTCTCGTTCCCATGGCTAACCAACACTGTGAAAGCCACCACGCACGTTAAACCATCTCTGAGCCTTTTTATTGGTTTTGAGGAGAAAACGAAGGATCCCTGTTTCATAAAGACAACACAATCAAAGGCATAAAGGCTCAGACTCTGTGTTTTTATACTCCTCTGATTTGATTGGGCTTCTGGAGGCTCCAAGATCGTTTCCTTCACACTTGTTCGGACTGAGTGTTTGGGCAGTGCAGACGGTGTGTAAACACGGGGTATTCCAACAATA